CCCCCCGCTACGGGCATGGGTATTCTAAGTGAATTCGAACGGTCGAGGAGGTACCTCCTCCCTTTAGCTTATATGTTCCCAAAAGTTATATAAAAGGTAGCGTTTATTCAACAAATATACGACGCGTTTAATATTTCTCTACGCGCACTTTAAGCGAACGGGAGGAGAACCTCCCCCTTTTAGCTTATATGTTTTCAAACGTTATATAAAATATAGCTTTTATTCAACAACAATACGGCGTATTTTAAGTGACGTTGGATTATATGTTTCAAAAAGCTATATGAAATGTAACATTTATTCAACAAACATACGACATGTTTAATTATTCCATTTTAAGTGACGTTGGCTTATATATTCCCGAAAACTAAAAGAAATGTAACGTTCATTCAATAAACATAATGTGTTTAATTATTCCATACGCGAATTTTAAGTGACGTTAGCTTATTATATCTTCCCCAAAGCTATATGAAACGAAGCGTTTATTCAACTAACATACGACGTGTTTAATCTTTATCCATGCGAATTTTAGGAAAGGTGATTTCTTCCCTTCAGCTCATATGTTCCCAAAAGTTGTACAATTTTGCGTTATTCTATTTTGTCTCTGTATTCAAACGGGCAAATATTGTCTGTCCGCAACATGTTAGGATGTTACGTACTCCGTCCTGGAATTTTTAGGCGGACCATTCGGGTGTGAAAGTACGAGACCGTTATCGGTAAGATGCGCTGACAAGGCATGGTATTTTTCAAAATGTAAATTTATTCAGTGCCAAGCTGTGAAAAAAACAACACAGGGATCCAATATCTGCCAGATGGTGTGTCACGTGACAGGGCATTATCCAATGACAGACAACGGTGGGTTTTTTGAAATCTACTGGATATGCAAGACGCAAGCACCAGGGCTAGCATTTTACAGGGCGCCTGTTTGAAGACAAGTACGGGATGGAAGATTGGACCAATTCTACCAGGACTCACAGGTTATGGCACATGGTCCTCGTTCTGTACAAGTTTACAAAACGGATTGGGGTGGAGATATGGAACACGGCACGGCACCGGAATGAGAAAACATCACGACCGTATATTTGTATCGGCGACTAAGACCGGGACACATATCGGTATCTGTATTCGCGAAACTGAGCAGATTATTTCTCCAAGCCTGCGGTGGCCAAATGGACAAGAGTGTTCTTTCAAAGTAAACTCTGCCTTTTCCTATTTAACGACGTTGGATTCGGAATTCTAGACTTGGATACAGCGCAGAGTCTTGAAGGAACCTTGCATGGACACAGTGCTACCCGGTTCTACTCGACAGTTGCCGATTCGATTCAGAAGAAGTGTTAAAGGGCCTTTATAGAGCATTAGATTATAATGTACTACTGTTAAATTACTCATCTATGGACATCTAACCAAGTGCAATGTACAACGCATGGTACTCACTTGTTCTCTGTGTCTCTGTTGTTGTTGCCACATTGTCCCCCCCGCCATTGGCAGTTGCAACACTTGTGGTGTACTCAGTTCCTGCTGTGTGTGAATGTGAACTAAGTACTATTTGTCGTTGCATATACACATTGAGCCACCTGTATATTTAATTACCATATACAAAGTACAGATTCTGGCCACTGGACCGGATTTTTTTTTAGTGAGGGGAGTAGTTAAGGTTATTTACATACCAGAGCCCAACAGCCGACACTCAACCGAGACGGGGGCCGATATCAACTACCTGGCAATTTCGATACATTACGTGAGTCACATGCCCCGAATATAATGTCACGTGCTCAGAGTACTTGAATCACTTCACTCCTGAAGAAGGTTGACAGATATGCGACTAAAAATTAGAACAGAGCAACGGTCGTTTTGTGTTGAACGAAAGTAAACTAACTTCATGCATCATGTGATCTCGAAGCAGATCCCTTTCGGTGGCAAAAAGACAGTATGAAATTTGCCAGGCAGTATCCATTAGCCAGAAAAGGTCGCCAGCCACATATAAAAAGGCAACGATCATTCACCCACAACTTCTGCTTGGAGAGTTGCATCATGAAGTTTATCTGTGTTCAACTTTGTAGACGTCATTATACTTTGTAGTCCATTGGCTAGACCCCCAAATTCGGCATATTGTTACTAACTGAGAACCAAAATGATTTTAAAAAAGGTGTCTGTGGGATATATTTTAATATGATAGCCGTTGTATATTTGAAGCTTTGACCTTGCTATCTGACCTTGAACTTTGACCCTATATGGACTGCTTCTTTTAATATAATGCTACTGGGAGCATGGTAAATAATTCGATATGAAGATTTTTTTTTATAATTCAAATAATTTCAATTGAATAAATGACAATCATTAACAAGTTGCATGTTTGTGCCAACTTACAGAAAAATCAGCTTCAACTAGAAAGGCCGACATTTGCTTGGGAGCAAATACAGCATATTTCAGTCCATCTCCCTCCCACTCAAAAGTGGACTATTCCAAACTTACCCCAGTGTAAAACTGGCAAAGATTCTCAAATAAATGAATTATATAGTAGCTTTGTAATTGTGAACAAAGATGCAAGAACAAGCACATTGAATCTCGAAAGCTACTAATCTTATTACAGGTATGCAAATACTAACAATGATGAGATTTGATACATTTTGAAGGTCTTAGGCACATAAAATTGAATGTGTGGGTCATTACGCACGACTTACGTGCAGGTAACCTGCAATGGAACACGGCAGATGGAACAGGCATAATGCAAACTGTTGATTTTCAAGATAGAAAAGCGTTTATGCCCCACATTCCAATGCTTAAGCAGGAAAGTTTGACATACCTACCAAAACAATTCAATGCAGTACCTACTTTTAATAAGCCTATTCGCCATTACCGGCGCGAAATGCATGATGGGTAAAATCCGCCATTTTTCTAGATAAACTAACTGCATGGTCCCCGCTACACAGCGAGCGCGGGTGTCGAATCCCGCTACGTAGCTAAAAAATATGAGTTTACCTGGGCCGTAAGTGGAGATTTTATATCTTATTGGACGGCAAAGATGACAGACGTTTCTTGCCGTAGGCGAACTTGTCCACTGGAAACGACGCTTCCTTGAATCATCTGCATATCCTATTTGCAGATGATTCAAATCTTTTTCTTTCAAACTCGAATTTTGATACGCTAGTAAACCTGGCTAACGAAGAATTGAAAAAGGTTATATCGTGGTTTGAGGCAAATAAATTATCAGTCAATGTTAAGAAGACATACTACCTTATTTTCTGTAATAGAAATAAAACCTACAATAGAAGCGCCAAAATCTTTTTAAAAAATGTGACCCTTTCTCAAGAGAGTCAAGCCAAATTCTTAGGTATAATCATTGATGAACGATTGACCTGGAAACCACATATAACTATGTTAGGTAAAAAAATTTCAAAAACTATCGGTATTATTGGAAAAATTAAACATCTTCTTACTCAAAAAACCATTATTACCATATACAATAGCTTAATATACCCATATCTAACCTACGGGAATATAGTCTGGGGATGCGCCTACAAAACCACACTACAGCCCCTAGTATTACTCCAAAAAAGATTTGTTCGTTCAGCCACCGGCGCCAGTTTCCACGCACATTCTGCACCTTTGTTTACAAAACTTAATATTTTGAATATTTTTGACATAAACAAACTTCATCTGATGCTATTTACGTTTAAATTCCTTACTTGTTCTCTTCCAGACACATTTAATGGTCTTCTAAATCTTAATTCCCATTTTCATACTTACCATACTCGACAAAGTGCCCATTTCCATATCCCCCTAGTTAGAACGTCCGTAGCCCAAATGAGTGTAAAATATAAATGTATAACTACTTGGAATAATCTCCCGCTCCACCTAAAATGTTTAACATCAATAATTAGCTTTAAACGAAATCTTAAAAATCACCTACTTTTCTTTTCCACCGACATTTGATTTCTTATTACTTTGATTTCATCTGTATAAGTTTGAATTTCCGTTTCTCTTTAAAATTCATTTATTTTCTTGAGTTATTGCTTCAATTCTGCCAATGTCTGTATTGCAGTTAAAGTTCTGTTAACGTTAAAGTTATAGTTTTTAACATATCATTTCTAATTAGCGTTATTTATCAATAACTTTTGTTATTCATGTTACTATTTGTTTTGTTACTATTATCATTTTGATCATATTGATCAAATTTATTAATTACCTATTGTTATTTATTATTATCATTTGATTTGTTAGCATTATTTCAGTTGTTAATTAATTTTGTCGGGGAAGATCCCAGACAAGCCACTATGGCTTCATATCTTTCCCCAGCATTTTATTTTATTGTCAGTAACATTGTCATTTTATTGTTATTAATTATATGCGAACCAATAAACAAACAAACAAACAAACAAACACAGACCCAGGATACAGAACCCAAGACTAACAGTAGTATTCAAGCAACCATGGCATTAATTTTCTTTGAAGAATCTTGTTTAATAGAATATGTCTTGCTCCTATCTTACTTCCTATGCAACATTCATTAAGTGCTGTCCACATTAGAGAGATATGGGAATAAGAAAAATATCAAAATAGTGCTTGTTTTGTTTTCTTTATAGTAATATACATGTATGTACTTGTAACAGACAGAACAATCATTATCCAGGGTAAATAGTAATTGAAAGGTTATCTGAGATGGTAAGTTACATATTTTATTAAGAAAAAAACTGTTCTCCAACTCAAGAAATTTGAGTTTTCAACTATATACTGTCTTCATCATCTATCTGAGCCATTTGCTGTGACATTATTATATTTTCTACATC